TAAAGCCTTCCTGCTTGGAAATAAAATTGCATAACTCTTAAGTTTTTCTATAACTTTATGTATATTCACTTATAAAAATAGGCCAAACGTCGCCAAGTGAAGATAACAACTTTTGTTAATTAATGATTTCAACACAAAGGAAACACTAAAATAATCGGTTGGGTAGCAAGTTGAATTTTTCCATAATTCCCTTAAATGTTTGCTCAATTACTGGAATGCGTGTTTCCTTTCTTCACTTCCATCGTTTTCTATCTGTGAGTGGCTACTTCGATCTTCTACTATCAACTATAGGAATCGAAGATAACAAAGCCCACTTTAAAAGATCAGAAATTGCATTTCAACCGCTGGTTAAAAGAAAGCAAATTCCTTTCCATTATGTTCCTGTTGGTGCTACGAAATTCAACAGTACGAGTGTTTTTTAGGATCGCCCCAACAGGCAGCTTCGAGCCGGAATAAAGAAGCGAAATTAACCGAACAAGATGAAAAGAAGAAATAAATATTAGACAGCATCAAGCCATTAGAGTGAAAAACGTTCGAAAAATGAACTCATTTGAGCATAGAAACTCCCATATTCATATCTACAGTTGTCATATCCAATCAGTGTGATTGAGCTTACGCTCAAATAATTCCAAAGACAACATTTGTCAACAGAACGTTTCAACCGAAGACGCGCATATGGAAAATCGCCCCCAAAAAAAGTCATAAGGGCATTTTACTAACAAAAAAGACGACCCTTTTCGAGAAGATAACAACCGACCCACAATCGTTTCAAAGCCACATTATTAAATGCAACCTTTTTTCCAATCGAAAATAAAACATTTTGTGTTAAAAGATATTTACCTGCCGCTGCAAGAGAGGACCTATACGGATTATAATTGAAAAGGTTATTTAGCTTAGGTCAAAGTTGGTGGTTTTTTGTGGGCGCCCAAGGGCTCTTCAAACGTAAAAGGGCAGCTATATCGGTTATCTCCAAAACCCCCAACAAGTATCTTGTTATGCTCGTACGTGTGGGCGGGGCGTTTTATGTAAACGTTTTACAAATCCCACAGGAAGTTCAGGTCTGGGCTTTTCTCCTTTTAGCTCAATCGAGTCAAAGACACGCTTTATTACAGTCTGACACTATTTTTTATCTCATTTTTGTACAATTTGAGAATGCGGATTTTAGTCCAATTCGGTCAATGTGAAGCCAACGTTTCTTCTTCAGCTGCACAACGCTTCAGGCATCCACTTGTCCATATTTCTGAGTTATGGAGCTTTCCTGTCCAGCGTAAACTTTCCATTGTTGGCTTCAACATGAAATGGCAAAGCTTATGAAAATTCACTGCATACGTGAATTTTAGTGAGACTTTACATACATTTAGCTTGATGCTTCAGATTCAGTTAGGCCTGGGTAACTCAGCGAATGTTTAGGAGTTGGCGATTTACTTTAAGGATCATTTTTTAATAATGTTTTTAAAATTTCATCAAAATTTCAGAATTTTCCAGTTTTAGGCAAGTTACTCTTTCTTCTAAATGTCCATCCTCTAAAGTTTCACTTAAAAATGCTGACAATCTTAAAGTGTTTTCCGCAAGAAAATATGAAATAAATTTCGCATCCTTCCTCGCGTTGTAAAATGTTTTGAAATCCCTTTCCAGCTTCGAATTTGGAACAAAAATCAAATCATTTTCTATCGAAAAACGAACATAATAAGCGAAAGTTTAAAACGGATTATTTGGAAATATTGGCAGCTCCACACCTCTGAAGACTGTAGAGTTTGTTAAAAAATGTGGTTTTTTAGTTTCGTCTGATTTTTTTTGCGTTACTTTAGACTCCAAAACGTTCTATTTTGTAGAGATTCACTTAAAAATATTGACGATCTGCAGATCTTTTACGCAAAAAATTACAAGATCAATTTATAGCTTTGTAGACATTTTACAGAAACTGGTTTCAGCGTCGAATTCGGGACAAAAACGAGAATAACTTCCTCCGTTTTTACCCCGAAAACCAGGCTTTCTCGATCAAAAACGATCAAAAAACTAAAGTTTTTAATCGAAAACGCAAAAAACCCATTATTTTCTGATGATTTTCTGACAATAATGGAGGTTTTACAGCCAAAAATTACAAAACTAGTTTTGCTAGACAATTCGCCTCATTCATCGGTTTGCAGGAAACTTTAGAAAAGCCATTTCAGCTTCGACTTTGGGACAAAAACCAAATAATTTGATTCAGTTTTTTACCGAAAGTAATTAGGATTATCTTGAAAAATCGAGAGCAAAAGTTTTTAAAAAACTATTTAGAAAACATTCTTTAAATTTGCAGGTCATTCCATTAACAAAGTTTCTATTAAGCATTTTTTTCTAGGCAAAAATGGCATTATTTTTTTGTTTTACTGAAAATGCTGACAATCTTCAAATATTTTCTGTGAAACAGTTAACACTCGCCTCCTTAACAGCTTTTCAAAAATGTTTCGAAAACTTTTTGCAGCTTCGAATTATGGACAAAACCCTAATCATGATTTCTGGGTGTTTTTCCAAAAATATTTCCCCGAACTGAAAAAGCGAAAGTTCATAATCATTTGTTTGGAGAACTCTTGGAAACTGGGGTTTCTTCACTTTTAGGTCAATATTTGTGAACTGTCTACAAACAGAAAAACCGCGTTTTTCCTAACGTTTTACTGTAAAATACTGGCAAACTTAAACTTTTATCTTGAAACTCGTCGACTTCCTTTCGACTCAGTTCGGTTGCTGGAAAAATATAGATGACCTTTTTAATTGTTTTAACAAACTAGTAAAAAATTACTCGGAAAAAATGCTGATGACCTTTTTTTAGACGTAAAAATTCCAGTTCCTGGTCTCGCAAAGCTTTAATAAATGACTAATAACTCATTAACCGGTAAGTTATAACTCGTTAACTCAGAGAGCGGCAACAACTCAATAACGCAACTCAACACAGTGTTACCCGGGGCTACTGCTGTTAGCCTGATGCTTCAATTGCGTAAAGTTTCACCGACCCAATTGCCTCAGTTTCTGATTCATATAATTTTATTTTGACCCTGAAGCCGCCTATTCTTGTTTATTTTAATGTGAAATGCGACTACTTCTTAAAAAATAATTAATTCTGGAATTTGAGGCAAACTCTCTCAACTTCAATTCTGAGTTATACAGTTTTTCTTTACCAACCCGGATTTCGATTCTTCAGGTTCAACTGAACAGTTTCAACCGGGCACTTGCCCTGCTTTCTGAGTAATGCGCTTTTTTAAGCCGCAATTTTCCCTTATGAATCAATTAGATATTCCGAATTTACAATTGAAGTTTTGTGGGTTGAAGCCCAAGAATAATATTGGCAAATAAATACAAGCCAATGCAGGCAAGCTCTATGGAAATGTGGACGTAACCGCTCATCAAAGAAGAGGAAATTCCGGATTATCTGCCAGCCAGGGAGTGATTTTCCGGTGCTCTAGCTGTATTTGTGTTCATTAAATTCGATTACATATTTATCTCAAGCACGTGGATGAGTACAATGGATCTAAATTAAATTTCCCAAGTTACTCTGCCGATGTTCGCAATAAAGTTGTGACTTTGCATAGAGATATACGCTCGGTGCCTACAATGCCGTGCCATTAAAACTACCATGAGAATCCATTAATTTTCTACTGCTACGCATATATATGAACTTATTTCGTATTCAGTATCATTCAATCAATATTCTAACGTTAACGTTTTATTTTTTTGCTCGCTTGTGATCTGGTTCTTCTGATCTGATCTTCAGAGCTTCATCGGATTTTATAAAATATATTTATAAATAAATAAAAACAAGTAGTGTAAAAAATATTGCAAAACAAGTAGTGTAAAAAATTTCTCGCTTGCACTTGAGGCTATATGTAGAAGAATGGAAAATGGCAGAGGCGCCAGATCTACACAGAATGGCGAAAGCGCTTTGCAACAAAAAAATATCTTGGGTCGAAAAACTGTCTAATGTTCTGCCTATTTTTTTGCATTTAACTCATTTTGGCACCTTTTTCAGGACTGACGACTGGATTAAATGAGTCTGAAAAGGTCTCAGATCAGTTTCGTGCGCTCAGGCGTTTTTTTTAATTTGATTGCAAACTGCGTTGCATTGTTATTCTTCCTCTATCACCGTCCCCATTCTTGAAGCGGGCAAAGTTACATAACAAGTGCATTCTTACACGTTGCAGCGATTTGGCGAAATGAAACTACAAAGTGTTATTGATCCCGTAGTGGATTCCAGGTACCCTAAACTAATAATGCCTAATCGTGCTATGTAGAACCATGTAGAACCACGTAGCATCACGTTTGATGCACTTTATGGTATTCAGTGAGCGTAAAGAGCTCGACGAACCGTTACGTGGTGCAGGCACAGAGCCGACTTTTAGCAAATTGCTGGATATTTTGCATCGGATCTTAACGTAAAATTCCCGGCTGAAAATTGCCAGCAAACCATTTTCTGACGTGAAAATCGATCGTCAAACGTTCACAAACTAAAAAATCGCAAATGTTGCGAAATTTGCTTCTTGAAATGTTCGAGCACGGTTCTGTCCAGTTAATGATCTTCCGCCATGAATGAACCAGACCATAGATTGTAATGCGCTTTAAGATTTTCAAATAATGGGCTTAATAGCGGGAAAACAATTATTATGCACTTCCGCCGTCACTAAATATCGTTCAATGGCAAGGTTTGCGTTTGCAATTTATTGTAGAGTCGACAAGCATTGCAAGTATTTTTAATCAATAAGGAAATAAACTTAGTTCAAAGAGTGAACTTGTAATGTATATTTGACGCATTTTTTGTTTACTTGTTAAAATGATGTTGTTACTGATTGACCATTCCGGAACGTAGCTCCCATCGGAAGTCTCCCTCGCACACATAGGAGCCGATGCGCTGTGCACAAGCCAAGTGAGGTGCTACGTTCGAACTTGATACCCTCAGAGCTTCCACTGGCTCAGTTTAAAAAGAAGCAACATTTCGAAAAATTCGGGAACACAATAAATAAAAATCCATATCATATAAAACGCATATATCTGATAAATAAAACTTCCTCTAGAGCGTTACTTTGTTAACTGATTACAGTAATATTAAATAAACAACTAAAACTAAGACAATAAGATGTTTTAGAATCGGCGAGTGTTTCAGCAGTCTTCACTTAAGGGCGGAAACTTAAGTCGATGAAACTTGACCGTTCTAAAGTTAACAAGTAATTAAAAATATTAGTCGTATAATAAAATATGACGTATTTTTAGCAATGATAGATGGTCGAGGCAACAAAAATCCCAGTTCTTGTTGCTAGAGCAAAAATAAAATGTGGATCTACAAGAAAAAACATCCAAGTGCGTAATCTAAATAGTAATAATAAAATAATTAATCTGAACCTAATTATTCAGCAAAAAGTCGCTTGTCGGTAGTCGAAAAATTACATGTTTCCATTCTGAATGGCCTGGGTTTTGATGTAGATGGCCGAATTGTTGTTTAGTTTAGTCGGGCTTTCTGTTGGACAAGCTATCAAGTACGTATCGCCGGTAACGGGATTGCGTTCTAGAAAAAACAAATTAAAAATATGGTTAAAATCAGCGATGTGTACTATTCTTAGTAAGAAAACGTTACATATCTAGTTATCGGGGTAAACCGCAGCTGGTTCCTAATAAGCCAAAGAAATGCTTACTGTTGCCAATCGGTGTATAATTAATGACACGATTATTTTTCGGTTGATCTCTAGTTGGGAAATTTTTTCTAATTTTACTCTTTACACTCGCAAAACCACTTCAAGAAGAAAGGGGCATTAGCATTTTTTATAAATTTTATTTAAATAGTACTGATTTTCCCCATTCGAGGACGTAGTCTCGCATCGGTCGTCTCACTCGCACACATAGAAGTCTGTAGAAGCAGCACGATGACCAGTGTGTTGCCACGTTCTAACTTGATACCTTCACCGCTTAAAAAATGCCAGTTTTCAGCAAGACAAAGTACGAAAAAAATTGTTAAAATTCGGGTGTTTTCGCAAAATTTGCTCCAACAAGGAACCGAGAAAGTGTGCACCATAAAAATCGTTTAATTGTGCTAAAAATTATCAGTACAAAAAGTGTTGATGATGTTCGATCTTACATAATTCAGGTAAAATTTAAAGCCAAGGAAACTCGCCGAAGTTTATAGTACTTTATTTACCTTGGTGCACTTTGGCTTTCAGTTTTTCCGATTTACAATCCCATGAAGAAACTCCTTGTCCGGTTACCGGATTTCGGTGTGTGACATCTGAAAAATTTGAACAGTGCCAATGAAAAAGTTGGTCCGAAAATGTTCACTTGAATCGTAAAATTATCAATTTTCAAACCCGAACACGAAAATGTATACTCTATGTATAATAGAATTTGACTTTATCTGGTAGAAACAGAGTAAACTGTAAAGGCAAATTAACTTGCCGAAGTAATTATTAGTGTATTTACCTTGGTTCAGTTTGGTTTTCCTTTTAGTCGCTTTACAGTCCCACGAAGAAACTCCCTCACCAGTTACCGGATTTCTGCGTGAAAGATCTAAAAAAAATTAAATGGTATTAACGAAAACAGAAAAAAATATCACATAATTTCCTTTGAAAGTAGGAACTTTCCAAAAGCGAGTGAAAACTAAATGGAGAAAATAATGAAACAGGCTAGAAAAAGCCAAATTAAATAAAAACAGATTGTCGGTCTTGATTAACCGGCTGAAACAATTTTCAAGAAGTTTTTAGTATGCAAAAATAACCAACTGATTCTTAGCATCCAATGCAACCACCCCGCTATCTAGATCCTGCGGATTTTCGTTCAATATACCGTAAAGGAGTCATCAAAATTTATCTTAATCGCGTCTGGTTTTAAAAGTCGCGAAAGCTTTATTTTCTCCTCTGCAACGTGCTGAACAAAAAAGCAAGTTTAATTGGATTTGGTACTGCAGTCCCTTATATAAGTGAACAAATTTGCAAATTTCAGTCATCATCAGGGAATTACCCCCATTTTTTTTAAATTGCATCTGGTTTTCGTGCTGATTTTTGCAGAATTTTGTGGTTGTGTCTGCAGCAAGTTTGGACTTTATTTTATCACAAACCAGTGAAGTGAAAAAATTTACATCTCCAAGGAAAAATGCAAGTGCATTAAACCGAAAACTTCCCAAACCCCATCAAGTTGCGTTCATTTAGCACTGATTCTTATCCAAATTACCCGCATGATGAGCAAAGAGCTTTCACGAGCAGTCAATTAAAATTAAATCAAAACGCACTTTAAAAAAATGATGTGTTTCAAGAGCAATCGCTGATGAATGCAAAGTTTGCGCGCTCTCCAACAAGGAAACGAGGAAGTCGGTTTTTGCATTGCATTATTTAACTTAATAGCCATTAACATCCTTAACTGTGCACCATGAAAAATCGTTTAATTGTATTAAAAACTCGCGGAACAAAAACGTGTTGGCAACACGATTATTGCGACAAGAACATAATGGTTTGGCAAATTAGGGACGCAAACAATCTTACATTACCAAGTAAAATTTAAAGGTAAAGCAACTTGTCAAAGTTATTAGCAGTTTAGTTACCTTGCTGTTCTTTGGCTTTCCGTTTAGCTGCTTTGCAATGCGGCGAAGGCATTCCCTGTCCCGTTACAGGATTTCTATGGGTAACATCTGGAACAAAAATCGGTATAAATTACAGAAATGTTCACTATGGAAATGGTAAAACACATCCTAAATAAAGATCAATTTCCTCTCTTGCTTCACTAGCTAAAACAAATTTTCATAACGTTGCTATAATGCACCGATATTCATATTTTCGTTCAATATTCCATGTGGGAGTCGCAAGTAAAAAGTTGACTTTCGAAACAATGCCAGGCTTTTCTTCTAATTCGGACACGTACTAATTATCTGCACTTAATTGCGAGCATCTAGACATAACTCGAGAGAAGGTGTGTTTAAATAGTTTCGAACAATTATTATGGCAGGTGGGCAGACATCGCATTTATCACGAATGGTAATCATTTTCTTTCAGAAAAAATATGAACTTTCCCTTAAATCCTCATAAAATTAATGATTTTGCTATAAAGTCTACATTATTTCGTACTACTGACACCAAAAGCCTTAATAATTGCATTTGCCTGGTGAAACTGTTCGATTTCTAAGAGGTTTTTCACGCCAAATCATGTTCTACTGCATGCAGAGAAGAGAATAGGAAAATGCATTCAAAAGCTGAGGGAAACGAGGGAAAAGGCCATTTTTAAATTCTTGTGAAGAAAATTTAAAAGTGAGTGAATGAAGAACCGGAAAGTCAGTACATCAACAAACAAAAGAAAGGTATTTCAGTGTCAAAAAAACCTTTATATTGCTTACCATGATTGGCCAAAAAGCCTCGCTTAGGTGAGGAACGTTTGATCTCCATAGGTCCAAACAGCCGCTGAAAGGAGCCCATATTCTGCAAAACTTCAGTGCCGTTGGATAGGAATCCTGCGGATTTCATTCTCAAATCTGCGAAAAACACGTGGAAATTCTGAAACAAACTGGCCATTTAAAACGTGTCCGGCCTGAAATTAAGACGGTCATCAACCCCCGCCGGTCGATTCCATCCATAGAGAAACCATTTGCATTTCTCTATTCATGGAGGATTAAAATGATCGATGACTGGCCTATTTTTTATGCATCCATTCACCAGAAATTGACAGTAAAAGTTAAGTGGTGTAAATCAGTGAAATCATTCATTTAACTAATGGAGTACTTGCACGTTTTTCTTTTCTTAATTGTTTTATTTGCATTGTAATCATCCTCTTTTAAGCTTCAAGTTTTTTTTTAGTTGATTTGGGAAATACAGATTTAGCTGTGATGTTAACGATCACTTCAATTTGCGAGCAGTGCCTAATGGGAGAGGCCCACCAGATGCACCCCGTGCAACTAACGTCAAACGACATAAGATATATACACTGCTGGAAAATTGAAGTTTTTTTAAATTTATTTTCCTGGCTGCTTGTAATTGTTATTTTATTCATTTCCTTTCTGGGTTTCAGTCAAAGTGTGAAATAATTTTTTTTATTTCGTTTATTTCATAACGTTTCGGCGAGACAACAGCTCCATCATTAGATTTAAAATGCATACAAACTCATAATTGGGAAACATTAGGTTCTTTTAACTCTTTACTGTCTTGAAACCTCAAATTTGTTTGAATTTATAAGAATTCAAACAAATTTTCATCTAGAGGTGACCAAAAGCGAGCACTTCAATCTGCGAGCAGTGTCTAATGAGTCGCGTCAACCCGATGGGCCGTATGTAACGAACGTCAAACGGCAGGCAAAATATAAACTGCTTAACAACTGAACTGGTGCTGATTTTTTTCAAAAGCTGGTTTTGTGGCTTTGCTTCCCTCAATCCGACTTGTCTAGAGAACCATTCAAATAATCCAAAAGCCGTGTGTTTAATATAGTGCATTGATGCATGCAAGTAGGCCATTCGTTTTAATCGAACTTAAACTGATCCAGTTAACACATTTTTTGACTTTCTATTATTAGTTTAACAAAATTGTGGCCAAAAATGTTACTTTTACTGCTACCGGATGACACAGTGAAACACAAAGAATGAAAATCTCCAGAAGAAGGTGCCTAGAAAGATTTTACTATAAAAGAATCAGAATGATTGCGATTTTTCCGAGGAAATTATGCAACTGTTTGCCTCGCGTGTTACTAGAAAATCCATTGCGGCAATCGGCCGCAATTTTATCTATAACTTCGGGTTTCTCTAGTACAGGTAATTCAACTCATGCAATTTAATAGGAAACCTTACGATTTGGATCATGTCGGGTTCATTATGACACAATTCGAACAAATTAAGTCCAACTAATAAAATTAAATCGAACGGCAATAGTTTATGTTTATATCAAGCAGACCTTTAATTGAATTTCGATTAAAACTGCTAAGGTTAGTTTAAATATTTGCACCATAAATAGATCCAAATGTGACCATAAATTGCAATCAACACTTGCATTAAATAGTACTAATCTGCTGTAAGAAAAATCTTCCGCACGAAAAAATGCGAACATCTCCAAATTGGTACGATCTCACCCATATTCCGTGTTGAGCACAATTTATGCGATCAGCAATCAATTGCATTCTCGTACGCCGCGTTAATTGACGAAAGTCAATTTTCATTCAATTTGATTCGATTTTCCTCATTGGCATTGCTGGGAAAGCGGATGAGCTTAAAAGGGAAATGGGACCATAAGGAAAGAATTACCATCAGAAAATGTTGAATGAAAAATTACACCACTTTAATTTTCGACCAGTGTATATTTCCTAAGCGTTTGACGCTTGATACACGGGGGGCATCTGGTTAACGCCTCTCATTAGGCACTGCTCGCAAATTGAAGTGATCGGTAGTACTTAATTCTATTGAACCCAATTAACAACGTAGAGAAAATTTAACACAAAAGTTAAATATTTTCAATAAACACCCTTCAAGCTACTGGACTGGAGGAGAAATTAGGAAAAACTCCCAGTTGGAGTTAAAACTTCATGAATTAATCCTGGTTAATATATTTTTTTTGGAAGATCTTTAATACACAGTGTCTCGTAAATGAGTTGGAGAGATCAACGTACTTGAAGCGCTTTGTATGCAGCAATACAATTTTACACAATTTAACCAGGCGAAAACAAATCGCGTACTATTTTTAGAAACTCAAGCTGCAAATAATGTACGGTATTTCGTAACGGAACCACAAATAAATATTCTTTGCAATTAATGTAATTATAAATTCCTTTGGCGAACCGAAAATCGGTTCCATTTAATAACGGTTCCGCTGCATTGTTTATAAACACATCAGAGAACCGAAAAAACTCTGCCTCTATGTTTGGATCGAAAGTTTTTTGGAAAGCGTTGGTTTGATTATTAGCCGAAACAGCCTTCACCGGATTTCCAATCTCGGCCCATTTACTGTTTCGTTCATTGAATTTTTCAACTGATTATTAGTTCTGCATCAATAAACGGGCGCGACCCAAGAGGAAGAGAGCTCATTTTATATGGGTTGTTAAAATTCGTCACACTGCACAGAGATGACGGAAACAATAAAGTGAATGTACATTAAATTGTTATAAATTTGCCGTATCTTGCCTCTTTTCAAACTCCGTTAATGTAATGGTTAATTGTAAGTAGGTAACAAGCATAGAAAATAATGATAATGCCACTAATGACCGGGTAGCGAGAACCAGCTTGATAGAGATATGGAAGAAGATATGATTCAGGCAGTGATTAATATAGTTTCAACTCAAGTGAGAATAACTTTAATGTATGCAACTCGTTCCCTGCTAACAACTGTTCTTGTATTCCTTAGATTTTCAATAAGTAAATTAAGTTCCTGTGGATTTCCTTGTTTCCACCTCATAAACATTGTGTAGGAGTCGTTTTCTTAAACCTTAAAATAGAGACAAGCCTGATGATGATCCGATTTTCGAAATTTCTCCACCTATTTTGGGCAATTTTGATTTTCTAAGGACTGTCGCAAAAATTGGTCAAATCTCTGAAAATATTCTTGGAGATTCGTTAGAAAATCAAAACCGTCAAGAAAAAGTGAATAGGGACTTTTTTATGTATTTTAATCCCTTCTGTCCAGTGGTGTACTTAGAACTGCGCAGCTGTTTTTAGTATTGGAGATATTTCGAGTTTTTTGCAATCAACGTTTTCGCAATTCGTTCCCAAACGGTTGGTCAGAAGATTTTGAGAAAATCTTCGCTAAATACTTCTTCAGCTGTCAGGCATTTCGTGGAGAGCAACATTTTTCGCTGAAGAGCATCATTTTCGACGAAAAATTAAATTTTGACAATCCAGCAAACTCTGAGGAAATTCAAAATAAAAAAAACCGTCAATAGCGATCTTATTGCGTGCTAAAACAAGTGAATATGAACTTTTTTACGTACTTTGATCCCTTATATCGAGTGGTGTGCTGAGAATTCCGCCATAAATTTTAGAGATTTTTGCAAACAACGTTTTGGCAATTTTCTCCGAAAAATTTTGCAAAAGCCTCCACTTAATTTGTCTTCATCTGCGAGGTACTTTATAAAGAGCAACAATTTTCGATAGGAATCGTCGCTTTCGAGAAAAAAAGGTATAGGAAAAATTCAACAAATCTTAAGTAAGTTCGACGGAAAATCAAAAAAACGTTTATATCGAGTTTATTGAGCCCTTTAAAGCAAAACTGAATAGCAGCTTTTTTGTGCATTTTGACTCCCTCCATTCAGTATCCTGAATCGGCACCACTTTTCTTAATTGCGAAGATATTTGAAGTATTTTGAAAGCAATCATTCGTTCAAGGGTTTTGGCTAAAGCTCCATTCAATATCTCTTCACCTGCCGCGTATTTTGTAAAAAGCAACTTTTTTGCAGCGAAGCTTCGTTTTTGAGAAAAAAGATCAAAAGAAAACTTTTGGACCACATCGCCTGAAAACATTTTCGACCAAAAATCAAATTTCTTTTGAAAAAAAATAATTTCAGAACTTTACTTCTGGACAAAATAGCATCTACTAAAAAGGTTCAGATATTTTGCAAAAAATGTCCATTTCCAATCAAAACCTTCCAGAGGCTCCTATGGAACCCCACCCTTCAGTCCCAATCAAATGCCCTACATTTTCGCACTCAGAACTTTTCCCACATTAATTATATAATAATTTATTGCCTTTAGATGAAGACATTCAATTATTGTTTGTCTGTATAAAATAGCGTTTTGTTGGCTACTCATTGTAGTCATAATTACCTTACTTACAAAGGTCATTATGCTAAAAACCGCTCATTTGAATATTAAAGTGCACTTTCCTACTAACAGTCGAAGATACGGGAAAGTCGGTGCGTTTCTGAATGTTAATTGCATTAACCTAGACATTGTAAAAAGGTGACAGAAAGTGCTCGATTACTAGCCGATAAGTAACAGTTTCAATTTATGAATATTTTCATCTATTCCCATCGCAGAAAACCATCAAATCCGACTTTGCTTTTAATTAATTGAAATTGAAGTGCAGTGAACAGTAAATAAACGAAATGAGCCTAATAATGACGAAATAAGAAGCGCAATTAATTGATGATTCACAAAACAATGATGATTTGTGGAGAAATGGCTACACGCTCTATCGGGCAACGCAAAAATCATCATTACAGATGGGATGGTAAGGTATTTTTTTCTTAATTTAGTGAGCCGATTATGCGTATCTCCGCAGCTGTTAGAAGTGACGCAATTTTCAACTTTGAATATATATTTCTGCATGAAACAGCTTGTTCTTCGTTCGGAGGATTTCTACTCCAATCTGTCCTCCAGGGTTTCTGCCATGAGGGCTGAGTCGTCCGCATATATGTCCTCTATACTGCGATCCTCTAGAGTTGCCGGTAAGCCAACTACATTTGCCCATTACAGTTTAAAATTTAATTAAAATTAAAGTCAAAAAAAAAATTAAAAAGTTATCGATCAAAGAAAAATCCGAAACGATTCTCCTGTATGGAATGGATAATTTTCTAGACGAAGAAAGCAAAAAAATGAAGAACGAATAGTAAAGTAGTCCATAAGATTGTGTTTAACGGGTAATTTGTTTTACCGAGGAGTTGTTAAGTTATAAGTGATGCTTTACAGGTCGCTGATTTTTCGAAGCATCCCGGCTTGCTTTATAACAGTAATAAGTTACTAACCATTGCACACGAAATCCGGATGTACAGGGTGTGCCAAGCAACATGAGTTTAGCCGATTGAATTGAAATAAGTAGTTTTCTGGTTTGTTAATCAATTTATCGATCGATGCCACAAGAAGCGCTGAAATATTGGAAGGGTGACGGTAGAAGCCGTATTTCTAGTCATTTCCGTTTCTTTAACGCACTGATTATCTCAGATCAGGATATCCTGAAGTTGATAAATGACCTTTTCCACTAAGTATGGGGGTTGAACATCGATAAAGTGGAGCTTTAATGTCTTGAAGTCCCGAATGGGTGTAGTTTCTGATAGTTTTAGTGACGAAGACTCCAAAAATTGTTTAATTTTAATTAATTCGGTCTTGACGGGATATTGTTGCTACCATCAACCGTATTCAAGTGTATGCTGAATTAATGTTGTTCAATGAAAAATGAGTTAAAGTTTTTGCCTATTTTAACTAGCACACCTTATATGCGTTTACATTATCAGACGGAAATTTAATAATATTTACAATAAAAATCTCTTTAGGACTTAATACTATTTTATCAGTTTGCAACGTAGCTCACCTCGGTTATCTCACTCGCACCCCTCTGAGTCTATGCTGGGGCAAGTTGGCCAGCGCGCTGCTACGTTCCAACTTGATACATTCCCGACTTAAAATATATCAGTTTTGAGTTGCATTTTCATCAAAACTAGTCAACTTTATTCGGCTTTCCAACTAAAATCCCTTTGAAACTAAGAAGGAAATGTGCATTTTCAGCATTTTAGGTCGGCGCTGGACGACGAAATCCCTTAGGAGTTTTTCATTTTCAGTCATCATCAGGCAATTATTGACAATTTTTTAAAAATTGCATTTGGTTTTTGCATGCCGGCGTTTACCTTTCGCAGTTAAAAAGTCAATTTTTGATGCATTTTGCAGGACAAGGTCTCTTCTATAAGTGGAAATAGTTTCAATTTTCAGTCATTAGGCAATTTTTGACAATTTTACTGAATTACATTTGCAGGCCGAAGTTCCGCAAGTATTTTCTCTGTAAGTTTCCAACTTGAAAAAATTAAATTTCAATGCTGTTTATAGGGCAAAATCTCTTTTCTAAGTGTGCAAAGTTTCAATCTTCAGTAATAATAAGGCTATGTTTGACAATTTTCCAAAATTGCGATTGGTAAACGAGGTTGTTTTGCGGGCAGGAGTTTGTCATTTATTTATTTAGAAACTGACAAAGTAAAAAAGTTGTTTTTAAATTTATTTTATAGGGAAAATCTTTTAAATGCGGCAAAAGTTTTGATTTTCAATCATTGTCAGATCATTTTCAAGAATTTTTTAAAGTTGCTCTAATATTTCGAAGCTATTTGCACAGGTCGAATTTTGACATTTATTTCCTCATGAACCTGCTAAGTTAGACAGTCACTTTTGCATCAATTTGTAGGACAAATCTTGCTCTATAAGTGCAAAATATTTAGATTTTGTTCCATCCTTAGGGAATTTTAAAAAATTTTAAAAAATATTCTTTGCTTTTTGCGGTTGTTTATGCAGACCATAGTTTATAGTCTATTTCTTCACAAACCAGTTAAGTTAAAGAGTCACTTTTGCATGGATTTTTCTAGCAATAGCTTGGTTTATAAGAGGCAAAAATTTAAATTTTGAATCATCATCAAGCAATTTTCAATTTTCTTTTATTTGCCACACGATTTTGTGTTTGTCTTTGCGGACCTTAAGTGTGGCATTCAGTTTCTCAGGAACCAGTGCAGTTAAATATTTACTTTTGGGTACATTTTGTAAAGTGTTTTTTATATTTTGGCAACGTTGAACCGAAAACTGTAATTTATTTATAGACGCTAAATAGGTCGAGAATGTTTTGAAGGTTTTGAAATATTAACTGGGACACCCTATATATTTTACATTAGAACACAGGATTTTATTACTTACAAAGAATACTGTTTAGGAGTTAATTGCTATTTTGTCAGTTCGAAACGTAGCTGACCTCGGTTATCTCACTTGCACCCATATGCGTCTATGAAAGAGGAAAAATGGCCTGTGCGTTGCTGCGTTCCAAATTGATACATTCACGGCTTAAAATATCGCAGTTCCGAATTACATCAATACTTTATGCGGCTTTCCAACTAAACCCCCGTCAAAACTATTGGATAATTAAGCGTTTTCGGGATTTTAGGGCGGCAAAAAATCAATCAATTATTTTTTTACTGATTTGTGGGTAAAAAATATTTCTTAAAAAAACATATATTTTCGATTGGCGCAGTCCACCCTGTATGAAACAATAAAATACGTACATTAGTTCTTTATAGCAGCAATCGATCTTGACGTCGATTAAAAAAATCAATTAAGTTTTGATCAGAAAATGCACGTTCCGTAGATCTAACAGTTATGTGCAACGTTTAAATCGATCTGTACACGACAAAAAACATCGACATTAATTTTGTGAGGTTTTCTCCTCGATACGCTTTAAAACTTCCGGGTTTTGTTCTAAAAGATGGTTTTAATTAACATTTGAATGCGATTTTGGAAGTAGCAAGTTGGCTCGATTCCGGTGGAATTTTGACATTATCTAGAATTCCAACAGGGATTTCCAAATTTTTTTTGCAGAGTAAGAGCCGAAATTGCTATGTAAATTAGACGCAAATTATGTAGGTCGTTTCTTCAAGGATTGCGGCATTTGGACGCAAATTGAGGGCGACCTTTTCCAAGGGACGGAGGCTTTCGTTTCGATCTGGACGCACTTGAGGAATCAATATTATAGTCTGGGACTTAAATATTGGTTAAATGCGCGTGCTAATTCAGAATATTTTCATTTCGAAGCTCAGTAAATTACATAAAAGATCAGTAATATTCGATGAATTTAAGTCTGATTTATTTTCCCGACTGCGTGTACTTTTACGTTTTATTTTCACTAGTATTTCTCAGGCTGTATTTATGTTCGTACATTCGCTTTTTGAAATATTGTTTAGTTTGTTCTATATATGTATTATCACATTCTAAACAGTTAAGAGACAAATTTAAGGTTTCAAAAAGTCAAAGACCTAAAAGAACGTTGATTTTTACCAATCATGAGTTTGGGTAAATTTTAAATCTGATGATGGCGCTGTTACCTTGCCGAAACGTAATGAAATAAACGATGTTCAAAAGTTTTACTTCACACTTTGACTAAGACCCAGAAAAGATAAGAATATCATAACAATGATGAATTTAAGTACAAATGTATGTACTTTTTATACGAATCCTACAAAATTGGATTTGGATTGGAGTTGGTCGATAGCCATTTCCACATCGGTTGGGAAACAAGCTCCAGGCAATTAACTGAAATCCTCTCATACCTTCCTCCTCTGCGCTTTTCCAACATTTCCGGCAAAATCTTCAAAGAAAATAAGCTTCTAGAAACCCTAACAAAGTGTCTATTGTTTGCAAGTGGAAAAACAAACCATTTTAATCGGTCGTAAAGTCTAAGGAGAACAGCTGAATAACGTATTATTACAACGTTTTTCCAAAGAAATTGTTTATGGTCATTCCATCGTTAACTATCTATACCGTTTTCCGGCAAGATGCAAAGAAACGCCGTAAGAATAGCGCAAATTCAATTTTCGATCCAATCAGTGCAGGCAATAAATTGCACAGCGAAGATTAAGAGAAGCAGTCGGTCATGTCAAGTGAGATTTTATAGATAAATCTAATAAACACATTAAAATATTGGTACTAAACTTCAATTGAACGACGGTTTAATGTACTTTCTCCGCAGGTACCGAGAGAAGAATTACACTGGAATAATTTCACTAATGGCCCAAATTCGACGCTAATTCTTGTATCCAATGAGAGTTTTCCCTGCAAAAAGTGATTGAAATTCGAAAAACCTTCAATTTTTTTGTACTTGATGATTCTGAAGATTTTGTTAATTTTGACAATTTTTTGTGTATAAAAAACTTTCAAATTTATTGGATAACAAGCGAAAAACGCCGGTAAAGTCGGCTAATTTTGCTGAAAATTAGGGGCTGAAACGATGCTCACTCACCTCTTTTTGCTGTTTCGAAAGTTATCCAGCTCGACGTGCACTACACTGCTTGGTAAATGACTTTCCTGCCCAATCTTCTAGCTGCCAAGAACCAACTGATCGGCCACAAGAAATGTAACACCATTTTATAGGCGCGGATTATGTGCAACAGAGCAAGGCACAACCAGTAGGTTGTGCCTTGCTCTTGTTAATTAACTTATATTATTGTTTGTTAATAATTTTAATAGCAAGTTGCCGCTTTTCGGTGTTCTACACTGTTTTACAAAGTAGAATGTTGATAAACAATTCATAAGGATGTCTGTTTCACTTAAAATTTTCCGTAAATGCCGTAAGTGCGAAAAAAACTTTCTATTTTCTTTCCTTTTAGTACAATTCAACAAAATTTCAACTTAATTGAAGCAAATTTCTGCAGGATACTCGGGAGTTTGGGTTTTACGATTTGCGAATTCGTATTATTATACACTAATATTCTCAAACCATTTTCAACCGTGTTATACAGTTTGAATTTTCACTAGACTTCACAGCAATATTGTGAAAATTTTCACAGCAAAACTGCGATATTTTTAGCCGTGAATGCATCAAGTTCGAACGTAGCTACGCACATGCGGTGTTTCCTCTCTTATTGGTTCATATGGGTGCAAGTAAGACAGCAGCTGTAAGCTACGTTCTGAACTGACAAATAGGAATTAGGACCTAAACCGATTTTTTTTGTAAATAATAGAATCTTCTCTCTGAGAATGTAAAAGCATATAGGGTGTCCCAGTGAAAATTTCAAAACTGTATTCTCAACCTATTAGTCTCTATAGTTAAATTACCTCAAATCATTTTCGAATTGTTCGTTTTTGGATTAAGGTTTTCCAAAAATAAAGCGTACGTTGCTCTACCAAATGCACTCAAAAGTGAGTCTTCAACTTGACTGGTTTGTGAGAAACTAAATGCCAAACTTAAGGCCTGCAAACACAAACAGTGTGGAAAATGTAAAAATTTGAAAATAGAAAATATTTGAAAAAAAAAATTGAATTTTTTGCCACTAATAAACCAAGTTATAGCTAAGAAAATCCAGACAAAAGTCACTTTTTAATTTAACTGGTTTGTGAAGAAATAAATGTTAAACCGCGGCTGGCATAAAAGAGCGCATAATGCAAGGAATATTTTATAATTTTCTGAAAATTCCCTAATGATGAGACAAAATCGAAACATTTTTTGCATAGAGTTTTTGATAAAAGTGACGCTCTTGGAAAGTTCCTGCCCAAATAAATTACAAAATTCGGCTTGCTTATGTATCCTCGAAAACCAAGTACGGCTTTAAAAAATTTTTGAAATTGCCTGATGACAATTGACACCCAAAATTTTTGCCTTATAGAAAACGAACTTTTCCCTATAAAATTGATGAAAATAACCGGATTACGACTAAAAATCTAAACTTTGTCCAGCCATAGAAGGAACATTTTTTTCAAAAATGCACTCAAAATTGAGGTTCTCGATTTGCAAGTTACAGGAGAAATAAATGATGAACTCTGGCTTGCAAAAACCCACCACGAAAATCGGACGCGATTTTGAGAAATGCTTAAAAATTTTGGGAAGATTACTGAAAATTTTAACTTTTGTCACTCATAAAGCAGACTATGTCCATCAAAGTTCTCGGTAAAGTCACTCTGTAACCTAACTGGTTTCTGGAGAAATTGCTGTTTAATGACCTGCATAAACAAGCGCAAATTGCCAATAAAAGTTTAAAAAATTCCTGAAAATTCCTTGAGTGTGAAACAGAATCGAAATTCTTTCTACTTGTAGAGTAGACCTTGTCTTACAACTAAGAAAATTGAGTCAGCATTTTGTGTTGATAAAATTTTAAATATCTTGTAAAAATTTTTTAGTACCTGAGAGAATTTCTGTACAAACACGTTTTTGGCTGTCCCTTTCAAAAGCTTACTTTTTGAAATCGATAAACGTTGCAATTTTCCTTTTATTTGAATAAATAGACGACTTTATTAGCTCTAAAACGCCACTTTCTTTTAACTGTGATATCACTAGCCAATAATTAGCAATTTTACGATCTATGAAAGTAATTATTGCTGAGAGAGGATATCTGGGTAATTAAGTGGCATCCATTTAACAGATATCTGTTTAGTATTCTAGTCATTATACGCATATTTCATGAGAGAGAAATATGCTTTTTGGAACTTCATTTTTAAGGGGTAAATAGACCGTGTTAAAATATTCCATCCAACTAAGCGTTTCCTGCTTTATTTAAAATACCTTTTTATATCTTAGTTTTGTGGGGCCGGGGTTTGCCATTCAATTATTTTGGAGCTAACAAAGTGAATATTTTATAGGACGCAAGCCATTTCATATGGCGGCAATTTTTCATATTTTAGTCACCGTCAAGCAATTTCCGAGAATTTTTCAAAATCGCTTGTTTTTTATTATTTTTTATTTATTATTTGCTCAGAAACTTGTAAATCTAAAGACTCATTTTTGCATCGTATTCGTAGGACAAGATCTGCTATATAAGTGGAAACAGTTGCAAACTTGGCTCATCCTCACAAAATTTTCAGAAATTTTCTAAAGTTTATTTGCATTTGCGCTGGTTTATACAGGCGGCAATTTAAAAGTTATTTCTTCAAAAACCAGTTAACTGAGAGAGTGAGTTTTTTGCAGATTTCGTTGGGCATAGTCTGTTTTATTAGTAAAAATTTCGAGTTTGAACCATCGTCAGTTTTATATTCAAAATATTTTTCTTCGTCGCATCGGTACGGTGAGAGTTATTAGGAATGTAAACTAAGTACATTCTTTATTATCTTATGGAAAGACAGTCAGTTTCAATGAGTGAAAAGTGGTTGTAAATTTACACTTGAAAAAAAAACTAAAAAAGTTGTGATTAAATAAATAATTTATAATGAAAGCCTATTTTTAACGGCGAGCGCAGGAGCCAAATCATCATTATTAGGGCGCAGTGCCAATGAAGCGAAGAGAAGAAGAATATGAATAGGGAAGGCTTCCGCTCGGGTTAACCTCACATTTGTCACACGTTTGTTTGATGGGGGTCCTCTTAGACTTATTTACTGTCTGTTACTTAAATTAAATAAATCTAGTTTTAATTGTAACACAGTCATGGACAATAGTAAATACAAGGACTTAATGCCTCCTATTTCGGAGGATGCAGAGGCGCCGGATTCATCAGAGGAATCTGCCGATGAAAACGAGGTAAATGCACCAAGCTTTAGCCCCTTTGCGGCTACTAATTGAATATTGCAGTTTCAACCCAGCAAGCGGCAAAAGATCAAGAACAAAGTGTTTGCTGACGACTTTGAATTCGTGAGCAGTGTGGAGGAATACAACAAAGACCCTTGGAACGACATTAAAAAGTACGTGAAAAGAAAGGCCAAGTACAAGACTGACGACAAGATCCGATCAGCGCTAAAACGTGAGTCTGAAGCCAATCAGAACCAGTCGGACTCAGAAATCAGCCTGTCCGATGACGAGCTGAAACACGACCGGATTACTGAGAAGCTGAAAAGGAAAAAAAAGATCGACAAACTAGAAGATACAACTGAGTATGAAAAGCCGTTTGAGCCCACCAGTTACGAGGACACCACGTTTTATGAAATGAACCTGTCCAAGCCGCTGTTAAAGGCCATATCGGACATGAGGTTTGCGCACCCGACTCCTATCCAATCTGCAACGATCCCCGTTGCCTTGCTAGGTAAGCTGCAGTTCAAAATGCGGGCAATTGCTCCTATTTAAACCCCCTATTTTAAACAGGGCGCGATATTTGTGGCTGCGCAGCCACAGGGACGGGAAAGACTGCCGCCTACATGCTGCCCACTTTGGAAAGGCTCATTTATCGACCAATGAAAAACGCCGCAATTACCAGAGTTTTAGTCTTGGTCCCAACTAGAGAACTAGGCGTTCAAGTGTATCAAGTCACCAAACAGTTGAGTCAATATTCAGATATTGAAATCGGTAAGTTGTGTTTGTTTTCTGTAGGACTGTGTTGTATTTGGGCAATTTTCAGGCTTGGCGGTTGGTGGTTTGGACTTGAAGACCCAGGAAAGTGTTCTGAGGAAGAAGCCCGACATTGTAATAGCCACTCCCGGTCGTTTAATCGACCATCTAAAAAGTACTCCCACTTTTGGTTTGGAATCCATCGAAGTCTTGATTCTGGACGAAGCTGACCGTATGCTGGACGAGTATTTCGCTGAACAAATGAAGGAAATTGTCAGGCAGTGTGCTCGGACGAGACAGACGATTCTATTTTCTGCCACAATGACCGACGAAGTGGAAAATTTGGCTGCGGTTTCCCTAGTCGATCCAGTCAGGCTGTTTGTGGACAGCAACAAGGACGTGGCTTTCAACTTGCGACAGGAGTTTATTAGAATCAGGTACTGATCAACAATTGCATTTGTTCAAGGAAAAACTCATACATGATTCGATCCTTGTTAGAACTGGATTGGAGGAAGATAGGGAGGCAATTTTGGGAGCTTTAGTGCGCCGAACCTTCCGCGAAAGTTGCATGATTTTCGTCCAAACCAAGAAACAGGCTCATCACATTCATATTCTGTTGGGAATGTTGGGCCTTAAAGTGGCCGAACTTCATGGAAATTTGACTCAGCCGCAGCGTCTGGAGGCGCTGGATAAATTCAAAAATAAAGAAGTGGATGTATTGGTGGCTACTGATGTGGCTGCTAGAGGCTTGGACATTCCTGGCGTCAAAACCGTAATCAATTACGCGATGCCTTCAATCTTAGAGCACTATATTCACCGGTATGTGCTGGTCTTTTTCTTAGATTGGGCCTGATTGTTCTGGTTTGTTTCCAGAGTCGGGCGAACAGCCAGAGCAGGGCGCGCTGGCGTTTCAGTCAGTTTGGCTGGTGAAAAGGACAGAAAAATGGTAAAAAGCATCATCAAGCGTGCGAAATACCCCGTAAAGAACCGAGTAATACCACAGGATATTCTGGAAAAATACAGGCAAAAAATAAAGTCCCTTCAACCGCAAATCGAAGACATTTTGCGCGAAGAGGAGGAAGAGCGACTGCTGCGTAAAGCCGAAAACCAGGCGAATAAGGCAGAGAAAATGTTGGCTGGAATCAAAGACCCAGAAAGGCCGTGGTTCCAAACGAAGCAAGAAAGGAAGAAGGAAAACGTCAAGCTGAAAGCGAGCACTGCCCTGAAGAATGCAAAGGACAAACCCAAAAAGGTCAAGAAGGTTCGGGACGAAGATGAGGAGAAAATGCTGAAGGTACAAGCGATGCAAGCGAGGAGCTTCAAAAAAAAGCACAAACCTAAAAAAATATACGCTGTTGGTGAAGATAAGGGCTTCAATAAGGGAAAGGGCAACGCCAAGAAACGAAAGTCGCATTTCGGCGATTTGGTCAATGTGAACCAGGCGAAGAAACTGAGACACCAATCAAAGTTTGAACAGAAAAAAGTGGGCAAAAATAGAAAGTAGTCGCTTGGGTTGTTTTAACATTTATTTTTATAGAGCTAATGGAAATAAATGACAATAAAAATGATGTTTTCTATGAGCTCTACCCAATAAAGTTCATCACTACCAAGTGAAGAACTGCATGGGCGAAGATGAAATCCGCAAATCCTCGCTCAGGGCTGATCCCATAGAACTGGTTCTTGTTCTCGGGGTTCACTTGTAGTCTCAAACATACTAAAAGTCAATGAAATCTTCAATTAACCACAGGCACTTTGAAGGGTGAACTAAACATGCTAGTTCGCTGATTGCTTACCTCCCAGCACAAAGCAACTGACAGTGGATATAAAACCACTTAAAAATGAGTTGAAAGGAAAGGTTCCAACAAGAATACAGTAAATAAATTCGATGACACCGGTGAGGAGAATGTAAAACAAATAAGCGTCGATTACCTTCAATTTCTTGGGGGTTTTGGTTTTGTAATCATTGTAGAACTTTGAAAGAACAGAACCGATTTGCGGCATTTTTGGTTTTTTAGGAGCAAACACTAAATCTTAAAGCTTAAAAGGACAAGCAATCAATTTTGAGAGGTTAGATGACGCGACTTTGACACGTCGCTTTCCTAGGTTGTCAAGCGTGGGCATTTTTCCTGAAACACTCATCTTTTTGTAGTTACGATTGCAAAAGAAACCAGTTTTCATAGACAGGTGTTGGCAACACCCAACTGAGCGATTAATGCCGAAACAGCTGTTTGCTGTCAGAAGACGTCAAGTTTGTGCAATAATACTCATGTTTACTCGTTATATTTATAAAATTTTGCTAACAATGTGAATGTGTTTGTAGTTAGTCCTTTATTAGTGTAATTTTATATTAAGTGCCCGCGATTGTCAGCTGTTTGTTGCAGTGTAAGTGTAATTGTGCCCCAACATTCCCCGGAAAGTGGTAATTAACATAATTGCTTAGATAGTTTGTATTTTTGGCTACAATTAGGCTTGAACAATCAATATTCGCCTTTTAGGCGAGGGGCCAAATTCAATAAGTGTATTATTATGTAAAACTGCAGGAGGATTGCTTGAACTTCTTTGATTTAATATTTTACGCCCCCATCAATAACCCTCTAGAAGCTCTAGAAATACATCTACTTTACGCGAGAATGTTTGTAATCAGTATTTTTAAATACCAGCATTAGAACTCATCATTGTGTAGGATCACGTTTTTTAAAATGTAATGAGGATTTGAGTAGTTTGTCCTTGAGTTATTTCTATTCTTTATATTTGCTGATCCCTACTTAACTAGTTAACAGCCAACAGTGCTAAACCAACATGATGATGCTCCCTAATGAATCACATTTCTCCTAATTTCAGTAGGATTTGAATAGTAGTCGAATTTCAGTAATTATAGCAGCATTTTTAGGTTCCTCTCTATAAGTAGTTAGCATTGAATTTATAAAGTATTCGTTGGCTCGAAACACCTCAAATTGTACACTTTTCTCGGCCCAAAGAATTCAACGAGTTCATCGAAAAACTCGCTGGTATTGAGATTCAAAATAATCTGAATATTTCTCTGGCTGTTCGCTCTTCAACCAACGAATCTGGTGTATTCTCTATTCAAGCTTTTTGTTTCATTTTTGTAATATTTCCTCATCAGTTTTGGCGGTTTCCCACACTTTACTTTAATTCCACTCTATCAGGATTTTCCATTAAGCTTTCAAATGCTCTCAGCTACATTTACCTGTTTACAGTTTTAATGCTACGTTTGTACCACATACTTATACTTGAGGAATAGGTAATAATGCGTTTTTCCCCACATATCCGTTGATATCGTCATGTCGCAAGTAGAAAAACTCAGTATAGACGGTTTGTAACATGCTGATCAAAGTCCATTGAACAGAAATCAACTTTTTAACGATTGCGTTAAATTTCAAATTTTCTTGCTTAAAATTGATTGAAAACGTGTGAAACAAACACCTCTAAAAGGTCTCATCTCGTACAGAAAGCTACTACAGAATTAACCCCGACAAGACAAGGGTTTGTTGTAGACAAGAGCTTAATTAGCGGGTGGGTTAAATGAGAATATTTGCTTTTGATAATGGAATTATCAAAAAATGGCAATTGAAATATCGCTTGCCTACTGAACACCGCACTGTATTCGATAAGGTGAAAAAGGAAAGAGAACATAATCTTATCATTAAGTTTTGCAAATGTTTGGTTTAGCCAATTATTGCTTGCATTTGTACGTCTCGCCTTGCGAACGGCGCTGAATTTTTTTTCACGTGGACAAAAGCTCAATTCGTTAAAATCTGACTATTGCAAGAGATTGCAGCGCCAGAAAATACGCCCTTCCGGTAAGTGATTCCACATTTATTTTTACGGAAATATATAGTAATTCTGCATACAATTTAAATCGCCCTGGTACGCATAACTAATCCGATCCATCGGGGCTGGACACCTTTGGCCATACTCAGAAGAGAGAGCCACATATGAATCGCCATGGAAACCGCCCAGTCTTTGTCTTTCCTGGCAGCCATACGAGAGATGCTCGCAAAGTAGTGATCTTCCCAAGCAATTGTTAAATTTGATCAGCATTACGCGAAAGTCAGCCGCTTTAAATAACTATTAATATTCATGGAATTACGCCACCTTTTGACTTGACGATTTAAATTCGATTTTTATTTGCATCGCAGCCAGTGCAATTTATCAAGCTAAAAATACAAGTTTAGCTATTAGTAAGAAAGCAATGGTCATGTTTTTTTTTGTTTCATCGCCATCAAATTAGCCCCAATTAGATACAATTAGCCGGTAAATTACATTGCGTTAAGGTTTAACAGTTTAAATACTGCCCTGGGGCCGTACAGTTAATCTCGTCTTTCCAGTGAAACGGAATGGCCAGTAGCGACAAGAAAAGTCCAGAATTCACCAGAGTGAAGCTGAAAGCGCTGAATTCTACCACTCAGGTGAGTGATTCTGATGCGAGTCTGGAAACCAATAGTCTAAGTGCGGACAGCGGTACTGAGCAAAATCACACCGTCCAAAACGAAGCCAGAAAAAAGCGGAATCGGAAAGGATCGGAATGGGAAATAATGGAGGGCTTGAAGGATGGTCAACGGTTCGAGATCAAGCCCAACCTCTTCAGCGGGTATCTGCACAAGAAGAGAAAATGGCCCTTGAAGGGCTGGCATAAGGTAGCAAACTGCAAACATTTCACAATTGACCATGTTTTCATCCACGCCTCGTTTGTACTCAGCGCTATTTCATCCTGGATAAAGGCATTCTGGTATATGGTAAAAACCCCATCGATATCAAAAAGGGCAAAATCCACGGTACTCTGGATATCGGACTATCGGTGATTACCACTAAAGCCTGCCGACGTCGCATTGACATCGATGCTGAAGAGTTTATTTACCATCTGAAAGCGAAAACGGACGATATTTTTACCGGGTGGATTCAGCAGCTCACCGCCCATCGGCTCTATCGACAACACATTATCACGTACGGTACAAATGTGGGCAGCTTGTTTTCAGCCACTGATGGAATGCACGGTAGGTTTAAATCAAACACGTTTTATTTGTATGAAAATTGAAGATTTTCCAGGTATTTCCATAGGAGCCGACATTGTCTCCAAAGACGGCTCTCTGAGCAGGAAAAGTAAACGGAGCAACGCCGGTCGTTTGGAGCTGTGGGTCCAGGAGTCGGATTCCACTTTGGAAAAAATCCAGCGAAACTCTTGTGAAATCGAAAGGAATTTGGAAAAAATGAGTCTGCTCTTACAGCAGCTGGAGAGCGTCGCCCCTTTAGAAGTAACTAGGAAAACTGTGGCCGACTTGATCCTGTGTTATGGAGCGTGTTTTTTTAGAACATCGAAGCGGCTTCTCCCAGTGTGAAGAAGGATCGCAGGAAGTTCGGGCTGCGGAAGAAGAAAACCAAAACCAACAGCGTCGATCTGAGCATCCAGTTCAGTAAAACCGCAGTGGTGCCCGAAGCTGAAAACACCTCGCCCTTATCTGTAAGCGCAGTAATCGTTGGTCAAAGTGCGGGGTTTAATTCCGGACATTTCAGGCTAATTCCTTCTCAATGTTGTCCGTTTCGCATCAGCACATTAACACTCTAAGCAGCTCCTTGCCAGTGTCCGCTCAAGCCCAACCCGATTCCTTCACTTGCGATAGCATCAGCAATTCCGACGCTATTTCTCTGCCTGTAGACGCTCAGCTTAAAGACGAGTTTATAATCTTAGGAAAATCAGGTTGGAGCCGGGAATCATCTCCAACCCCAACTGATTTTCACTTGGGTTTAATGCAGTTTTAGGTGATCTGAAGACGATGATTGAGAGCATCTCCAAAGAGAGGGAGCGACTGAAGGTAGCTTTAGACGCAGAACCTTGCGATGTGTTCAATAGTACTAGTAACAATCAAAGTTCCATAAGCCTAAAAGACGATCTAAGCAAGATCCTGCAGCAGAATCTGGACCTAAAAACTCGTCTGTTGAAAATCCACGAAGCCTCCAATCTGGAGGAAGCGGCCGGTTTGGATCAGAAGGAGAAAGTAAGTTACAACTGATAGGCGATGTTTAACGTTTGTGAGCCAGGTTTTGTAATTTTAGGGCCAACATTGCAATAGTTCCTTAAGTTATAGTTCGTCGTATGTGAGCGCGACGGATTTTTTTGATGCTGAAGATCTGACTGCCGATAAAACTGCGATTTTTCAACGGGGAGATGATGAAAAGGACGAGGAAAGCGAGGTGAGCATATATGGGACTTGCCCGCATTGTGGTTTATTCGTTTCTGGGGGCTTTGAATAGGTTCGAACGCGATCAGAAAGCAGCTCAGAAGCGGACTCGTTTTCCAGTGGGGAGGGCAGCGTCAGTTCCGAGTCGGAGTTAGGAACCGAGCTGCATAACACCACTGTGGCTCTTTTGGACACCGGCGGTAAGCACTGTAAACACTAACCCCCGGCTGCACCGTTCTCGCTTTAAACACTGATTATATCTTAACCGGTGTTTAAAAAAAATGCATTGCACCGTCGCAAACTAATCGTCTGTTAGTTAATCAGAGAATCACTATGGCACCTCCGCTTTTTTGGCTTAGGTAGGTATCTTCATGATTATCGAATTTTATTTCACATGATCTTTCACAGCAACGCGGCCAGTAATATATTGGTGATGTTATATATTACTAGCTGACCCGGCAAACGTTGTATTGCCATATAAATTATCCCTAGGGTTTTTTTCATCTCGAGTGGGCGGTTTGCCCACTTGAGATTTTTTTTATTTTTTTTTAACTTATTGAATTACTAATATAGCTATTAAAAGATAGGGGTTTATAGCAGCACCCATATCACTTAGGGGTATAAAAAATAGATAACAACCTATTCTCAGACCAACTGAATATACATATAAAATTTCATCAAAATTGGTCAAGCCGTTTCGGAGGAGTATGGTAACTAAAACTGTGACACGAGAATTTTATATATATGTAAATTGTGTACTCCTTGTCTTCATATATGTGTACTACTGACCTATTATATATAATATATAAGCCTTGTTCTATGCTACTGACTGTACTAGCATGTACTAGACGTCGACTAACAATGCAAATCAAAGCTCTAACAAGGTCTGAAATAGCTGAAAAATACGACCAACTGCTTGATAAACGGCTAGA